CTTTTTACTGTGTTACATAATACTGTCTAGAGCAAACCTAGACTCGTTCATATGCCTACTTTACCTATTTAACGAACGAGAACGAATCTAGTTTTGTTTCTTGGTTTGAATATTGAATCTAGTTAAGCTCGTTCCTTCCTTTTTCATGTTTCGTGATAGTTACCTGCGAACACTCCTAAAAGCGACCCTCTTGTGTCTAACCCTTTTTCAAAAAGAAGCCACGTTCAACAAGGGGGACCTAACAAAAGAACATCTATGATGGGGTTTTTCTTTCTTTTTGGCTATCGTTTTACAAAGTTGTGTTTCGTAGATGCTATAAAAAAAGATACAAGACCAGTTTAAATTCAATAATTTCAGTTCATTTTGGATCTGTTTGGCTTCAATTTGAATTGATAAATCAACTGATCCACAAATTTACTGGTTTTTATGGTACTTGTTTTCAAATATAGCGTAAACAATTATCAATGTTGGTTTACTTATAATTTGTAGCTAAATTGCTATAGTGCTTCGTAACTTTTTTATTTATGTAAATTCCATTACATTGATATTAAAAATTATGAAAAAAAAATACATTTAACTTATCTTTAATTCCGATATTATTTTGTCGGCTTCGAGATTTGACGATATTTTATTCGCTTTGGAATACCTTTAACGGAATAATTTGAGTGTAAGAATTTTAGTAGTATTTTGGCTAAAATTTCAAAGTTATCAGTAGATTTATTGCTTTTTATCTTTGAGTTAATAAAATTACGGTTAAAGTTCTTTTATTGATTATTGTAGAGAACTAGAAGGGTAGTTGCGTAATGCAACAAGATACATCTTGATCTTAATATTTCATTTTATTATTTATCTCAGTCGATGTTATAGTATGGTCTTATGTGATTTTGAAAAAAAGATGATGTTTTTATTTTTGAATAAAATATAAATTTGAAGATGTCATTAAAATTTGACAAGAATATATCGATATTAGTATCAAATTGACTATTTTAAATTCCTATTTGTGTGTAATTTTTTAATTTAATTTTTTTATAATTTAATTTAGGTTTAATAACAAAGTAATTTATATTTGGTTTAATAATATAATTTTTTATAAATATAATAATTAATTATTTTGTTATAACTCGATAATTATCTAATTATATTTTAGATTTTTTATATTTTAAAATGAGATGTTTATCATATATTTGATTATGTTTATCCGTAGTTGTTACACGAATTCAAACATAAAACTTTAATAAGTTGTACTTATGCATAATTTACTTGTAATCTTGAATTTTAAGTAATATGTATCAATATACAATACTTTATGCATAAAAAATGGTTTTTAAGAGTTTTTGTCAAATACTCTATAATATAGTATAGATAAATGGATATTGTTTCCAAAAATTATGGTTCTTGTTTAAAATAAATACTTTATTGTTAAATTTAACTTAAACATCAACAAAAGATTATTAAATATTACAAAATAAATAATATTGTACCATATATGAGTCTTTGGTTTCCTAAGGTCAGAAGTTCAAACTTTATCAAAAGTGAAAAGAGTGGATTCTTTGTTTTATTTGCYGTATATATATATATATATATATATATATATATATATATATATATATATATATATATATATATATATATATATAGAAGTTGGTTTAAATACTAACCAAGAAATTTGTGTTAACTATACTAACCAAGACTAACCAATCATATTCTTTCTTTACTTTATGTTCAAATGTAACTTATAAATTAAATACAAGGGTGATTATGTAATTTGACATTTATGTAACTCCCTAATAATTAATTGGGAGTTACAAATCTTAAAGATCCCTCTAATTGATCATTAGGTAATTCTGATTTTTATCTTCATTTGTGTTCATGATCGTGATTTCAAGTGATGTTCTACATATAATGATATCGTTTTGTACGTGTAAAAGATTTCCGTATCGTCCGAGTAATATGGATAATACTATTGTAAATCATATTGATAACAATAGAAATGACAAAGTTAAAATCGGATACGACTACGGTCGGAATTCGAATTCCGATGATGAAGAAGATGATCAAAGTGTTCTGATTGGTAAGTGATTAGTATGACATTTACTTTGTTTAAATGAACAACTATTACCGTTGTGAACCATTAAATATTCTTGCAAATATAGTTGAATTCGTTGAAAAATCTTATGCACATTCTGGTACTGCATATGTTTAGGGATTAATTTAGTTGATAGAGAAACAAATATGAATAGATTATAAGATATATGGACACACATTAACACATATGAAACTGCACAAATCAAATAGATATAGATGTTATGATTCATTAGTGTTCAGYTGTATGAAATGCATTAGATTTTCATATTGACACACATGAACAATTACATCACATGTCAAGAGATACTAAGACATAAGGACACACACAACATATGAACACATAGCAAAGGCAGAATATGTGGATATCGATACATATGCACAACTACATCACATGAATATGAACARGATTTTTGAGTAGTATGTCATRTCGTTGTTCATATCGATACATATGCACAACGCGTTCACATGAACATGTGATCAAGCTCTGTGATTCATGTGAACAACGCCTTTTTACATTTTTACCCTGTGAATCCATTGTTCACATATTATTAATTAATATATTAATTAAATTCTTATTCTCATTAAACCACAACAGTTAGATGTTCAAATCAATGACCAAGATCGGTTAACAAAGTTAACACGATAATGTTGGTTAGTATTTGAACCAACTCATATATATATATATATATATATATATGTATAATTATGCATAAACACACAAATTATTATATATAATTTAGAATTTTGGGAAAAAAGGTTTGTGAATGGAAATTGATTGGTGTGGCTTTGAACCCATCACTCAATTCCATTCCTTCCAAAACTTTATGGTGATTTTGTGCTAGATTCCTTTTCACATTTTGCTTCATCATATTTATTTTTATTTTTAATTTTAATTTTAATTTTCATAACAATATATTAAAATTTAATAAATGATATTAAACTAGAAAAATTAGTTATGGAGATATGTATATGTTGGTGTAAACAAGACAAGTTTAAAAGTAGTATGACTTATTTGAAACTTTACTAGTTTTTTTTTATATTATCTCAAATAAAGTTATAATCATCTATCACCTTGCGGTATGTGAGTTTTTTTTGTCTCCTAAAAGGTTAGAGGTTCAAACCTCACAAAAAATAAGAAGATTATGTGAGTTTATTTGTTCTATTTGTCGTATATAAATATTATGTACTTCAAAAAGAAGTTATAAACTTCAATATAAAAAATTGGCCCCAACTATTAACCAAGTAGTTGAGATTTGAATTTTTTTTTTTTTAGTAACTGTGAATTTTCGGATTAGTTTACATGCAACGACAAATCCTTTTTTGGATGACCTGACGTGATTGCATATGAACCTCCATGGCCACAAGGGTTTTGACAATGCTTAGATAGAACCTGAGGTGGATGAAATTTCCCACTGCATTCCGTCTAAGAGGCTATTTGGCAGTTGCTGAATGGTTTGATGCAAACTGATTAAGATGTCAGAATGATCAAGAGACGCTCATGATATATTCCAAAATGAAATATAATTGTTCGGTAATTGTTTTACAATGAAATTATGGTGCTGAATGGTTAAGGTATGCCCATGATTAAAAAAATCATTCAAAACATTTTATAACCATTAAGAGACATACTTTTTTTGACAAACAAAATTCATCCCTTAACGATTCAGATACTACATTTTAATTAAACTATTAAGAAGTAAACAAACAACCCCTAAGACTTATAGTTTGGTTTTCTTTTTTATATATATGTATTAAAAATAATAAAAAAGTGATTTATTTTGTGAAAAAGGTGTGACATAATGGGGCCCATTGACAAATGAGCAATGTAATAAAGTAAATTGCTTTTGGTCTCACACTTGCTTGCAAAAGTCCACAAAGAAGTGCTTTTTGTGGTACAAAAGCAAAGATAATGTGCTTTCTCCATTTTATCATCTCTTTTTATTAGAAGGTATATATCCATCGACATCATTTTTAATTACATCTCTTTTTATTATAACACAAATAAATATATTTTATTTACTTTTAATTTTTTACGGTAATTAAAATCGCTAAATCAGTTAAGTCGATTCAAAAGCAGTAAGTGTTTTATGAATACAACCATTGAAGTGTACTTCAATGGCGATGACAATGATTATCTGTTGATTGTTGAACGCTGGTGGAAGCAGTGGTCTTGAGCAGTTGTTTGAATGGTGTGTTTGTACCAAATGAGAGGCAAAAAAACATTTCCGTCTGAGTTGTCAGACAACAACGAAGTGAACACTACTGAAAACATATTGATTGGCAAGTGCAATGTTTCGCTTATTATTGTTAGTATTTTTTTTATTAACCTGGATATCCAACCTGCTATGTGAGACAATTAATCCTAGGGCAACCACCTGCTTTGCAGATAGCCTAGAGTCACCGCATTTAAACCTCCGTGGCCACAAGGGGATTTTTATTCCTCATTGGATTTGAACTTGGGGCCTCTTGGTACTTTTGACCTTTGGAGTCAAGCTCAAACCAATCATGCACCACCCTTGTGGTTGATTGTCAATATTTTTGATATCTTTATAAATATTTTACTTGTTCATATACAAAGTTTTGCGAAGCAATTATTCTTTACATACACTCGTATGCATTCTTCAGTGAGATTTGAACATTTTTCTTGACAACTATATCATTCAAGCGTCTATGAGAAATTACCAACGACTTAAATCTGAAGATTATGCTTAGAACATCCATGCATTCACGACATCCTAAATCAACTCTATCAATTAAAACCACGTAAGATGGCACTCCCATATCGACTATAAAACCGACAATAAGCATCATTAGCTACAGACGTAAATCAGACCTCGTTTCTCCAAAATAGAACGTACGTCTTAAACGACAACTCACCACGAACCTTCATAAAACAATCATAAACGAACGGTCGATGAACATATAAACAAGGAAACAATCATATTGATTCTAAATTACTTACATTAAAAAATACACATACAACAAACAATTTTTGTCTATATTACACTAATATGCCAATATACAACTACAAATATTCCTTTTTTTACTCCAAATTTTGTCATATTTCCTTGTTTTACTCTTCAAAAGCTATCTCTTCGATTGCTTTCTTGGAAACTTAGTATCTGATTTAGGGAGCAAGATCCTAATATCAAGGGGAGGTGCTTCAAAACACGTCAAACTTTCCATCTTCCAATTGTTTCGGAGTCTACAGGATTTCCCGCTCATTAAATGCATCTGCTCTTATAAAATCCTCGAAAAACGAACTTGTTGGGTTGACTAAATTTTTGTCTTTCACAAATCCGACATTCCACCTTAAAGATTTGCTCATCTTCCCCATGTTATGTTCCTTACTTATGTCTCACAACCCAAGAAGAATGTAGTAGACCAGAGTTATAGGTAGTGCAATCAACATTCCGAAAATCACCCTGTAACATCAAAATAATCACATGTGAATACAATGGGGTTGTATCAAGTTTACACCATTTAAAATACGGACATTGTTGTATACACATCTATTTATATCAAAAAATCAGATCAAATCATGCATTGAAAATGTAAAGAGTAAGTTTTGATGTTGACATATGTGAAGTGTTATCTTAAAAAGTGAACATAGGTCAATATCCTTTGCTGTTTTAGGGGTTTAAATCCTTTTAAATTTCATATTTTCTTTAAGAAAATTATGGTATCTGACTTCATTTGATCGATATTTAATCATCTATATATAAAAACATAAAAGATTGACAACATTTACTTACGCAGTACTGAGTATTGCTGGATGAACATTATATTCTTTGGCAAAAACGAACGGAACGATTCCTTGTGGAAGCGCAGCCTATCATTCACATATACGAAGTTAGTAAATCTTTTGTGTCACAAACCCCCCCCCCAAAATCAAATCTACCTTTTTTTATTAACCTTAATATCTAACCCGATATGCGAGCTGACTAATCCCAGGGCCACATGGGGATTTTTAATCTCCTTGGATTTGAACCTGGGACCTCCCGGTACTTTTGACCTTTGGAGCCAAACTCAAACCAATCAGACACTCCCCTTGTGGTTCAAATCTACCTATTTAACATATATGATTTATGAAATCGATATTTACAATGATTATAGGCTCACTATGATTACTATCTACCTGCACGATGGCGACATGTAGGAGGGTACCACGGAGACCAACTATAATCGAAGCAGCTGCCATCACCGCTGGTCCCGTCAAAAACCTCACAGCCATCGAAAACGTAGCCACTGAATTTCCGCACGCTATAATCTTTGGTTGAAGTGCCATAAACAAACCTTCGAAACACAAAAACATTAAAATAAAATGAATCTTGCTTTCTATTGCGTAACCACTAGCATTAAAGTTGTTTCATATAAGTTCACTTTTGTGTCTAGAAGTTATGGAGCTCTACGAGACAAATTTGACAAGATTGTCCTTATATACATATGGTATTACCGACAACTTGATAGTTTTTCTTACGACGTAAAGAAAAAAAAAGGATCGTCTTAGACGTCAATAACGAATTGATAAGATTGACGTTGAATTTGCCATTAAAAGACACACCCACTACACGGGACCGCAATATGAGTCTATTCGTCAATCATTATGGTCCCCAATAATTGATAATCAGTTTATTTTAAATAAACTAATTAAACTAATCATATATATATATATAAAGGTTCATACGAGAACAATAACTAAATAAAAGAGTATGAAAATGGATAAATCACATTCGATTTTACACTAACAGTCAATGGGTACAAGCGATGTCGCCTACGACCTCAGCTCACGGTCAAAGTTGTGTGAATCACATGTGATTTTACACATGATTTTAGTGTAAAATCACCTGTCATTCAATATATATATATATATATATATATATATATTAATGAAAAAAGAGTTACCTAAGCTAAACATGGCCATTCCAAGACCAGCATCCGAGAGTATGGAGATTGATTTCTCTATTATTTTTGGCATTGCCACATGCCACCTGAATCATTAAGCTTGTTTGTTAAGAGGGAAAACTTACTAATAAAATATTATAAAAGAAAATTAAGTTGTAAATCTGTTTTTTTTTTTAATTAAAAGAATAAAAGAATGTATAACACATGTTTTCATTTATTTTGATTCGTTATAAATAATAAACGGTGATTTTTTATAAAACATTCATAATGAATACTATAGTATTCAAATGAATAATAAATTATTCATCCAAGACAAATTAAGCACCTTCAACTTAAGTTTAAAATTGAAATTGAAATTGAAATTGAAATTGAAAAAATAATAAATAATTGACAATTATATTATTTTTGGAAAAAAAATGTAAAATGATTTGATAAAGACTGGTCAAAGTGTACCTGAATGAAACAAGAGACCAGATTAAACCAATGAGGCTGGAGTACGTGTTCGGGTTCCGGATAAGTTTCCTCCAAACCATAATCAGTATCAATCGAGTCATCACACTCGCCGGCGGCATCTGTTTTCCGGTATTTCCGTCAAGAACCGGCATCTCCTTAGGACCGACCTCCGCCGTGGAGCTCGATCCCAGTTTGTTTAGACCAGCAGAACCCTCTTTATCTCTTTCATCATCTCCATCTCTGCCACCACCGAAACTGAAGTCATCCCGCCGGAATTCTCCCGCCCCTGCACCATTAACGCCGTAAATTATAGGGTTTTCGGAACAGAATGATTAATAAACGGTGGATTTTAGTTTACCCTTCGTTTCGGCGTATTGGTGGTGATCGGAGGAGACTACCATCCGGATTTCCTTGGCGTCGTCGTGATCCAGTCGACCTGACTGTTCCGTTGTAGCTCCGAAATCATTACCGCCGAACACGTGGAGCCCACCGCCTTCGGAAACCGGCGACGCACTGGAACTCCAGATGAACATGTGAAGCTCTTTGTCGTCATTCTTACCCTTGTTTTGTGAACCATTTGGTTGTGGCGGCGTATGTGGTGGTTGTAGGGCTTTTGCAGTTTTCGTTACGGTGGATGTAATTTCCGGGTTCGGCGCCGGGTAAGATGAGGGCTGAGCCGCCGCTGGGTAAGATCCAAACCTCGGAGAATTTAAAGGTCCAGGAGCTGTACTCTCCTCAAAATTCGACGGTCTGGGCGTCGGACCTCTTGATGACTGAACGGAATACATATCCGCCGGCCCAAAATTCGATAACCGGCCACCGGGAAATCCCATCATAGAGTAAAAATCAGAGTGGTTAAAATTCGACCCTCTTGGAGTCTGATTTCTCGACGAGCTCAAACTGTAGATTTCCGCCCCCGTTAAATTCGATGGCCGTGGAGTCATTCCGGCGAGGGAACCGAGTCCGAGCGACCTTCTCGAAACATTCGATTTCCTCACCGTCACATGAAGCTTTCCGTCATCTCCAATCTCAGCATCTGTTTCCAGAAAATCATGCCCATCGAGAGAAACAACATCTGATTCCACCTTAAACGACACAATCGACGCGGCGGTTTCCGGGAACTGTTCCATAATCAGAATCTTGGCTCCACGGTACTCGAACAAGAATAGCAGCAGAGTGTACCATATGATGCACTGCAGGACGACCACCTGAACCATCAACGATCCCGAATAATCACCATACATAGCGATGAGCAACGGAATCCCCATCACCAAGGTATTGGGTAGCGTCGAAAGGGAAAAGATCGTAATCATCCATTCCAGACTCCCGTTCTTCGAGAAATGAGCCCAGAGTCCGAGCACGACCAGCATAATGATTTTCTGGAGGGTATCGGCAGCGATGAACCGGAAGTTCATCTCGTAAGGATTATTCAAAGAAATGAAGTGAAACGACAGAAGAGGAACGGCGAAAATAGCCACAAACCGATTGATGCCAGAGCACTGGTCAGGAGAAAAGATCTTCCACCACCGTACGCTGCCGTAGGCCAGTATCATAGCCACGTATAACGGTACCATCGCCGCCATCACGGTGTAGAAATCATGCCCACTAATCATTTTTGCTTACAGATCTAGATGCGGCGATTAGTGGTGGAATTATTCAGTTTGCCGGCCAATGTCTGTAATTTTAACGACTGATTGAACTTATCAACAGAAAGAAGCGGTGGGTAGAGAGAGAAACTCAAAGGATATGGCCATGGATTTAGAGAGAGGAGATCGAGTGAATGGTGTGATTGAAAGACGGTGTATATGGATGAAGTGATTATATATAGTGAATATATGTAGGGGATGTATAATGTGCACGTGAAGCGTGGGTGAGCCATTGACTTAGGTTTTGACTAGAGTAATCGGGTCGGGTCGGGTCGGGTCGCTAACAGGTTAAGAACGCAGATAAGTAATTAACAATCGGGTTAGAGTGAATTGCTTGGTTTATCCCTTTTTAGGTAAGTACTAAAACTTATTTCCGAAAAGTTGTTCGGTGTCGGAAAATGGGTTTATTTATGGATTTATATGTTTGATCTACATGCTCGATATTCGATTTAGTAATTACGGATGGACATGGAGTTGAACAACCGAATGTAATTCACTATCGATCTTAATGAATAAGCCGTTTCCAATTGTAGAACGAAATTACCCTACGACTAATCCTTATTGGAAAGGCCAAATTTGTCTTTTTATTTTGATTAAAATAAGGATGAGTGAAAATAGACATGAACGAACCGACACCATTCATTAGTTGTTTGGTTGGTTTTCTATTAAATCATGTGTTGTTAAAGTTGTATGTGTAGATTAATCTATTTTGGAGATGGAGNTTTTCATAGATAGAAAAAACATGTTTTTGAATTAAGAGGTTCAAATCATTATATATATATATATATATATATATATATATATTTTGTCATTTTAAATATTTATCAAACAATTTATGTTCATGTAACAAATTAAACAGACATAAGGTTAAAACGGTAATTTGTGTTGTTCAGATTATTTAATCAAGACAAAAATCAGATACATTTTATCTTAATTTATCCAAACAGATTAATGTTTAAAAACAACTTAATAAATTCAAAACTTAACGAATAAAAAAACAAACAACCAGTTATTTTTTTTTAGTATCTTTACGTCCTCTCAAACGTTTAAATTAACTAAAATATTATACCTTACGATAAAAGCATATAACAATATAATTCCCCATTTTATAAAAGCTTTGACCCAATGATTCTTATATTATACATCCAAAAGTAAAGATACATGATATTCTAATAAAACAACAAATTAAGGTTTTAAATCCTTAACATAAACTTGATTTTTGTTTATGTAAATATAATATGATTACATTGATTAATTAAGAATCCTTTTCACATTTATTGGAGTAAGGTTTAACTTTGGTTCCTTCATGTTTGCAACTTTTAACAGATATCGTCCTAAATTTAAAAGATTCGGATTTGGTTTCTCATGTTCGTTAATTTTCGACGGTTTTGGTTCCTCTATTTAACGGTCGTTAACTTTTTTTTTATTAAGTCAAGTGGAAAATGGGTATTTTAGTCATTTTTATTATTTTTTCTTAGTTTTATATTAAAATTTAAAAAATATATTATGTTTCTAATTAACGAAAAATATAAAAAAAAATGATTACCACCGTCTTTTGTTTTGTTTAGAATTTAAAATTAAAATTATAAAATGTTTTCCTTATTTTATTATATTGAAAACCTCTTGTTTAATTTTTGTTTATTAACCTAGATATCCAACTCGTTATGCAAGCCGACTAATCCCAAAAGAACCATCCGTTTTGTAGGTAGCTCGGAGTCACCGCATTTGAATCTTCATGGCCACAAGAGAATTTTTTATTCTTCTTGGATTCGAACATGGGACCTCGAGACATTTTTTACCTTTGGAACCCAAATTTAAACCAATGGGGTACCACCCTTTTGGTTATGTTTAATTGGGTTTAATGAAGATTGTTAGGAGTTGACAACGTGAAGGAGCAAATCTGAGTTTTTAATGTTTATGGACGATATTCTTTAAAATTTGTAAAGTCGCAAACATTAAGGACCAAAATTGAACTTTATTCCATTTATTATATAAAAAAAAACTAGTGGAAGCCATAATTGTGATTAAGTGACTCAAATCCACATTAATTAAATTAAATTGTTGTTATGCTATCAAGCTTAATTGGCTTGCATGGCAAATGATGTCATAGTGGTCGGAAATTATCCCACAAGACTTATATATTTTCCCATATAAATTGTAATTCACTTTAAATATAATTTTAATCAGTATTTTAAATAAATAAAATTTGTGTAAAATAAAACGTAATTATATACAAACTCTGTAATCGATATGCAGTGTAACATTATGGTTGGTAGGTTACACCGCTTCAATAACCATCTCGTATGTTGAAAACCAATATCGGCCATTTTATCATAAAATTCTATGAAGAATCTTAGAATAAACAAAGATGAAGTTAGTAACTAAATGGCATATACGAGCTCGAGTCACGATCGACCACCTAACATATTAGTGTCTTGTGTCAATGTATGGTTGACTAACGCATAAAGAATTTTGCAAACAAGAATTCGATTTTTTGACTGATTACGTTCATGTTATATGAGCTTATTGTTATGTGATGACTCGAGCAGAATACTTTCTTATTGAAGATTAGCACTGTCTGCAACATGGTTTGATCACAAACAATATAATCGAATTTGAAACTTCACTTCTTTATGTGATGGAATATTTGGTCGTTCAATCCAGTAGCTTGATGACCAAACGGATAACTTTGAATCGGGAAAATTTGAAATGCCTTTGATTATTGATGTTTTCTTTTCGAATTGCAAAGCTGACTTAATTCATTAAGTCAACTATGAAGTAACGTTTCACTTGCGTATAATAATGCATTAATCTAATCACTGATACACCTAGTAAGTTACCTGTGCATTAGGGTTTATGTGAAAGCTTTTCTCTACCTTATTAATAACTTCTTTTTGGTTAATCAATTTATTTCGCTTTGTACTTTAGTTCTTTTACGAGCCTAGAGTTAGGATCATGATTCTTTTGTATACGAATTTTTAAAGCTGGGAACATAAGCACAAGTTGGTCATCGGATAAACGAACAGTAAAAAGTGAAAAACAATTCGAAATTTAAGCAATAATATATATATATATATATATAGGTGGAGGTTCAAACGAGAACACCTCCATTTTACGAGAACGCGAGAACATCTTTATCACATGTGATAATATGCGTGAGGGGACCCTGTGATGTGTGGACGACGTGTTCTACGACTTAGGCCGCGTCAAAGGTTGTTCGCCTCTATGATTTAGCATCACATGTGATGGTCTTGATGGATTATAGTTTCATATCAACAACAATCTTATCACATGTGATAATACTTGTGAATGGGCTTAGTGGTGTAACGGCGACTTGGCCTGCAACCAAGATCGCATGGAAAATCTTCCGCGTCTCTGATTTAGTATCACATGTGTATCATATGTGATGAAATAATATTATCATATGTGATTGTTTATAGTAAAAAGGTGTTCTCACTTTCTCGTAAAATGAATGTGTTCTCGTTTGAATTCTTCCCTATATGTGTGTGTGTGCACGTGCACGCAAGGGCTTAATCATATGAAAATTCCATATATTGTGATAACTATGAGAACATTTATCATAAAGAATTGTTTCAAATGGTTTTTTTTCCATCTAATGCTATAATTTAATATATTCATCGACATATATTTGATTCACAATGTAAAAGTTTTTTGTTGTCTTTTTTATTTCACAAACACATAAAAAAAACGTTAAAATTGTGAAACAAACACATTGTAAAACAAACATATGTTAATCAATACGTTAAATTCAAGATATAAATGAAAAAAATTGGTAAATTAGCAGATGATGCACCGGTTTTTGAAAGTTATCACAATTTTATGGGTTATCAAATCAAGATCCCTTATATATATAAATCAACCAATCACGAAATTTCATTTTTTCGATTTTTTTAAGCTTAAGGGTTATTTTGTCATTTTGATATTGGCAGTTAAACAAGGCAATTAACAACTCCCTTATTTTGTGCATATGATGTTTATGGTAGCTATCTATTATTTAAAATTCTCTTTATTTACAAGATGTAGATAATATTAATTTAAATAACCGTTTTTTTAATCAAATTATATGTTTTTTAATTTTCGTTTCTAAATAGTTTCACTAAATCAATCATCTTGTTAGTTTCTTTTGCAGTGTTCATCAATAGTGATTCGATTGACAATTCTAGTGTCAAGTGTCGTTGGTGAAATAGGTCATGAAACAGTTTATGAAATAGTCTAGTGTCATGAACCAATGTTCAGTGATGAAACAAGTCATAAATCAATGTTCAGTGATTAAACAGATGATGAAACAGGTGATGAATCAATGTTCAACGATGAAACAGTCATGAAGCAGATTGTTTCTCCATGCTTCTCTGATGCGTTCTTAAATTTCGAAAATGATAGTTTCACCATGATTCTCTCGCTTCGTTTACGACCTTCAATGATATACAGAAGGAATCGATTACTAAAATCTCCCATGAATACTGATTGATTTGCTGTGTTGTTCTTCGATTTTTTTTGTAGCAAATCTCCCATAAATATCGATTGGTTTTTTGAAATCTCCCATGAATATCGAGATCTAATTTAACCTTCCGTGAATAAGTCTTGAAAATTTTGGACCAATTTACCCTTCAACGCCTTTTTCATTAAATAAAAAGTACTCATTGTTTTTTTATTGGCAAAAATAGCTTCTTTTAATCATGATCATTGATCAATAAAATCGACGGATAAAAATAGTCTGTACGGTTTGTACAAATGACTTGGTTTGCAAATCAAACCGCTCATATATCTATACTATATTATAAAGCATTTGGCTAAAACTCTTAAAAACTCTTAAATCAGATTTCATCCCTATCCGATTTCATCCCATATCTGAAGATAAATACAATCAAATACATGATAAACATCTAATTTTAAATATAAAAAATCTAAAATATAATTAGGATAATCATTGAGTTCTAACAGAATACTTTATTATTATCTTTATAAAATGTTAT